CGAGCATTTATTTCACTTGCAAACAAAAGTTAACTGGTTATAGCAATTAATGGTGGTTGTGTTACATACACATGAAGCATTTTTGCAAGGTAATTTTTTCAAATGAAATAAATTTCATGTCAGTGCTAAAAGGTCTTTAGAATGCACTAAAAGGTGTTTGGTGAAAAATAACATTTTTAGACATTAATTTGGGAAATAGAAGTGGTTAAAATTTAAACGTGTTAGCCGCAAAAAAATAGTTTTATGACTAAAAAAAACTGTTTAAATCAAATATTTCTTTCGTGCACAGAGTAAGGCCCTTAGAGTGTTTTTCAAAATTTACATTTTTACAACATTTTTACAATAATGACCTTTCAGCACTGAGCCAACAATTGACAACTTGCAGTTTTGTGATAATTTTAAGTGAAAGACTTTTTTCTAATTCTCTGGCAATGTCGATGTAAAACTTGGAAAATACAAAATGCACATAGAATTTGTCCATGGAAAAACTTTAAAAAAGATGAAGAAAGAAATTGACTGGAGCAGGATTTGAACCTGTGACCTCTGGAACACCGTACCAGTGCTCTACCAACTGAGCTATTCAGCCCTATGTCGGTGGTTCCTCCCATTTGTCAATATCTCTGTTCGGGGGGAGGGCGAACTTGTTAAAAGTGAGGTTCAGAACAGCTGCTTGGTTGACCAAACAATGCTGGTGGTTTGGCTGCCTGAATGGAAGCACCATTCAATTGTTGAAAGCATGCAATAGAGTTATAAGCTTTTAGTTGATCCTCAAGGAAGTAGTATCAATGTGCCTGGGGTCTTTCCAAATGGTAATTATTTGACAAATTTTGAAGTACATGTATAGCATCTTGATAACTTAAATGTAAATATGAATGTTTTAAATGTGCATTAATAAGAATCAATGTGTTACGATGAAAAGAAACAAATTAAAGGTGAACGGTCTTCCTTCAAAAGCAAACTGACCAATTGTCGATTCAATTTACAAAGCACCTCTTAAGTCATGAATACTTGGATGTAAGTACAGTACAACGTCACTATACTGAACAATTCGGTGTACGGAACGTACCTCTTGGCTCCCAAATTTTTTGCACACTTTTACTGAACATCACAAATTTGCTTTAAATTAAAGAAAAAAATTTAGGACTGATGACAGTGACCAAAAGTTAAGATGTCAATAAACTCCTAAGTTGGAACGGCCATGTTATGAGCCCATAGCAAAACAAGCAGCGGCACAAGGGAATATGTTTTACACGACCAAGAACGCACACGTATGTATGTGTAACAACTGACATTTCAACATAGGAAGCGGCACACTCTTTTTTCTGCAAATGGCACCCTCTCTGTTTTGGCAAGTAGCGCCCTCTTTTGCCAGAACTTTTTCCCCCTTTTTTATGGAAATCGGAACATCTAGATTTTTAAGCCTATGAAAATGCGACGATTGGAACAGTACCAATGAAATGGCAATAGTCGGGGCGGTATGCTACACCAAGCATTGTGTATGGACCCTGCCCTGTTCATTATAGCAGCATTGTACTGTATACTGATATACACTACTCAAAAAAATCAAAGGATCAGACGTAAATTTTTCTTTGAAAATTTCAGCCAGGCGTGTACCTCATTGCCTTTACTTCTTGTACACTGAAGCTCATGTTCATGCTTGGTTGAGCACCATAGAATGTTGAGACAATGTAATTGGTTAGTTGCATTTCAGAGCCCAATTAGCTGGAAGGGTCAAAAGCATTGGGCAATGTGTATTGTTTGGGTATTGCACAACTTCAAAATGGCCACCTTCACTCTCTTTGCACATGAATTACATGTGAGGAGGGGATGACTCTGAGGCAAGAGGAGAGATTCAGAATCCCAAATAATAGTGCCCTCATATTACTAGAATATACTCATAAAAAGCACCCTCAAATTACTGCGATATCATTGTAACTCATAAACAGCGCCCTCATATTACTCTGATATCATTCTAACTCATAAACAGCGCCCTCATTGTACTGTGATATTCTAACTCATACACAGCGCCCTCATATTACTGATATTTTAACTCGTAAACAGTGCCCTCATTGTACTGTGATCATTCTAACTCGTAAACAGCGCCCTCATTGTACTATATCATTCTAAATCATAAACAGCGCCCTCATATTGCTCTGATATCATTCTAACTCATAAACAGCGCCCTCATATTACTCTGATATTCTAACTCATAAACAGCGCCCTCGTATTGTGATATCATTTTTAAGTCATAAACAGCGCCCTCATTGTATGGGTGATACCATTCTAACTAAACAGCGCCCTCATTGTACTGTGATATCATTCTAACTCATAAATAGCGCCCTCATTGTACTGTGATATCATTCTAACTCATAAACAGCGCCCTCGTTGTACTGTGATACCATTCTAACTCATAAACAGCGCCCTCATTGTAGTGTGATATCGTTCTAACTTATAAACAGCGCCCTCATTTTACTTTGATATCATTCTAACTCATAACCAGCGCCCTCATATTACTTGGTTAAAACGCAATATTTTATACATCATTTTCAGGGCTGTAAAAGACCTGGACAAGGTGCCGACCTTTTTTCACTGTCATGAGACTTCAGTACTCTGTAGGGAAAATTTCTTGTTTTGATGCCATGAATATCATTTGTTTAAATTATTAAACACTACGTATGATCCTTTGATCCTTTGAGTAGTGTACAAATGCAGATAGACTTGCTCCATCCCTAAGGTGGAAACAAGCAACTGCATCTCTGAGAAGATTGAGTCCTTTCCTTGCCTTTTTGTGACTCAATGCCTAAAGATTCTGATGAGGATCCCTCATGCAATCATGGAAACTGTTCCTCCTCAGTGATGAAGGCGAGGACTGGCATCTATTCAAGTACCTTCCTCTCCTTGACATTCTCATGAATCATCTCTGTGAAGTCCCATAGGAGCGTGTCCTCCATCTTCCTTCTCTACACTTTGAAGGAAGCGAGGGCGCTCTTGTCATCAGCATCATAGTCTGCTTCTCCTGGGGCATACCCACAGTTTTCATATAAGGAGGTCTGGGGAAGAAATTAATCACAAAAGAAACGAAGTTGGAGCAAAAACTGAGACAAACAAGGATCCTTATATGCTTCTTATTTTACGCCTTTTATTTCATTAAAAATTTTTAGTTTTCATCCATTTTCAAGTCAGAAAATGAACTATGACAATAGGATTCCTTTGACACTGCTGACGCATTACTTCTGAAAGCATTTAGAATTTGTAATCTTTGTTGAAAATATTTTTCCAGACACCTCTTCAGGTTTTACTGACTCAAAAAGTGACATTTTTAAACACTTACAATCGTCTTTCCCTTTTCCTAAGAGGTGAGGGCACTGTTTTACAGTAATAATGTAATGTCGATCAGGGAAGACCACAAACCTAAACTATCAACGGACAAACAGCTCTGACAGTAATCAACGGCCGAGTTCAGGCGGCTTGTTCCCATATGTTCACGAACAGCTCAATTTGTTGTTCATGGGTCGGCCGCTCGAACGCCGGGAACAAACAACCGATTATCGCTGGTAGTTAGTGACAAGCGACATGATTGCAGACAAGATGAATAAGAATCCCCCAACTTAACCCTCAACAATGTCCACAACTTGTCCACAATTTGTCCTGGACGAATTTTGAGACGACTCCTTACCTGTGCTACTTATGACATAATCTGCCTCTTCACTTTGGCAATTTCATCGGTCAGTCCACTCGCACCATGACACTAGCCAGCCTCAGTGTTCATGTAGGCAGCCATGGCAGTACATTCACCTGGCAATGAGGCCTTCCCAAATCTAAACACGGGGAAAAATGACAAAAAACAACAAGAAAAGGTCACCTAGGGTTTTTCAGTCACACTGTAATAATAATTTCTTCCCCTCAAGAGCAAAACATCCACTTTTCAACCCATCACCTCATACATGTACACTCTTATTGTGGGTTGCTGTTAGGAGTAACAGGCTGGTTGGGGTTTTCAAGCAGGCCCCTTCTCAAATCTTTGGAAAGTCACGATTAGAAATGCATGCAAGGGTTGACATGATGCCAGGAAAAACTAGCAGTTTCTATAATTCATCAGTTCAGGGGGTGACAAAGTGTAGCCGCATTCGACTAAATATGAGAATGTTTCCCAGATGCTGAATTCAGGGACAATTTGAACAGGACTCAGCAACTTTTGATCTGAAATCTAAGTCCCAGAATAGTTCTCTCAGAATACGGAGCATTCACTTCTAAGCTGAAACTTCATCAGGTTCGTTCTTGTGTTCACTTCTTGAGATTTTGAGTAATTTTGTTGCTTCAAAGGAAACTGATCCACAAAAGACAAATGGTAGACTGTATCTTTAAACAAATCGTTGCGACAACCAAAATCATGACTATTACTGTCGTAAAATAAGAGATGGCTTACTCTACTGGGGCAGTGATGCCAGAAGATGAGCTCACAGGCAGGGGACCAGCCATGCTGCTATCACCATACTCTATCAGGCCAGTCATGCCAGAAGATGAGCCCACAGGCAGGGGACCAACCACGCTGCTATCACCATACTCTATCAGGCCAGTCATGCCAGAAGATGAGCCCACAGGCAGGGGACCAACCACGCTGCTATTGCCTTACTCTATCAGGCCAGTCATGCCAGAAGATGAGCCCACAGGCAGGGGACCAACCACGCTGCTATCACCATACTCTATCAGGCCAGTGATGCCAGAAGATGAGCCCACAGGCAGGGGACCAACCACCCTGCTATCACCTTACTCTATCAGGCCAGTCATGCCAGAAGATGAGCCCACAGGCAGGGGACCAACCACGCTGCTATCGCCTTACTCTATCAGGCCAGTCATGCCAGAAGATGAGCCCACAGGCAGGGGACCAACCACGCTGCTATCGCCTTACTCTATCAGGCCAGTGATGCCAGAAGATGAGCCCACAGGCAGGGGACCAACCACGCTGCTATCACCTTACTCTA